TCCGTGCTTTTTACCAAAGGTGGTTTCTGGTTTTCATCTCAATCAGGACATAGTTCTTCCTCCATTATTTCCTAGGCCTCAGTCAGCAAGAGAAATATCTCGGCATACCTTGGATGTGGTTCTTGCTGTAAGGGTCTTCTTGAAGGCTATAGCATAGGTCAGGAGGTCAGATGCTCTATTTGTGCTGCCAGAGGGGCCTAGGAAGGGGCAAGTGGCATCCAAGGAAACTATTTCTCATTGGATCGGCCAATTGATCATTCAAGCCTATGGTTTCAAAGGTAAGGTCCCACCCTTTCAGGTGAAGGTACACTGTGTGGGGGCATCTTGGGCAATCTGCTATCAGGCATCCGTGGCTCAGGTTTGCAAGGTTGCGACATGGTCTTCGGTTCACGCATTCACAAGGTTATACCAGGTGGATATCAGAGCTGCAGAGCATTCTGCCTTTGGCCACAGTGATTTACAGACAGCTTAGTAGATCCTGAGGGATTATTGACGGTGGCTATCATGGTGTCACCTTCCTCTCAAATTTCTTATTACTTTGGGACATCCCACATAGTCATCAATAGCCTACACTGTGTCCCGTGATGTATGAAAAAGAAAATTGGATTTTTTCTACATACTTACCTGTAAATTCCATTTCTTGGAGTAAATCACAAGACACAGAGGTCCCACCCCCTCCTTCTGGAATGTCATTGCTTGCTACAAAAACTGCGGTACTTCCTGAGTCCATTCTGGATCCAGAGCTGTGCCCATCTGCAGCAGCTGTGCTCCCCTGTCCCCACTCTTGTGAGACTCGGCAGCAATGGGAACTATTGGCTACTGCTGCGGTCAGTCAGATCGTGTGAGAAGGGAGCAGGGGGGTGGGACCTAGCTTGGGATCTATCGTGCAAGAATGCAGTCATAGCAGGCACCTTGCTATGGGGGGCACTTGGACAAGTGGGAGGAGCTAAAACCGTGGGGGGACCCCATGAGAGAGGTTCAAGACTGCTCTTTGCAAAACCATTGCAGGCTGCATGTAAGTATGCCATGTTTGTTATTTGGAAAAAAAAAAAAAAAACCCTTTACAATCACTTTTGCTTAGGTGTAATCTGAAATTCCACTTTTCTTCTGTGTCCTGATGCTGCCAAAGAAATAGATAACACAAGGTGGGCTGAATGACACCACAAGTTGCATGGCATCACTGGTAAATGGCATTTTTCAATGCTGGTTGCTGGTCAACTAGGGCGTTGACAGAAGTAGAACAAGGTGCTATGTAGTTATGAAAATACATGTGTTATCCTTAAGGCTGTTTAGGGCACTAGAAACATTCTAGGTTAAACTCCCACTTTAATTATTTTTTTTTTTCAAAAACGTCCCAGTTTGTCTTTAAAAAAATGATACTTTAGTTATTCCAGTAACTTGTGAGAGTGCTGAACTTTTCTCATATTTCAGGAACATATGGCCCTTAAAAGTAAATGTTTAGCTTTGTTAGTAAAAAACCACCCTATATACATCCCACAACTTGCCTAAAAATCATTTATAGCACAAAGATTTGGGAATAACTAAATACTAATGCTAATGTCTGTCCCCTTCCCCCCTATTCAACATTGTTGGAAAAGGTATGAGGAAAGTTCCTTCCAAAATGTGATTGCCAGTAGCCATAAACAACTTTATCCTAAAAATAACAAATAAAAATGTGCACTACAAACATTTATATTACTATACAGCACTGAAAGTATGCAGCTCTCCATGTCACATAAACAAACAGAGCCAGTTTACATTCTGTAGCTCTGCAGACTTAAGAGTCTGATCTACTGATCTGATCTGAACTGGGTATTACAGAATTGCAACCTTGGTTGTATATTCATGTAGGGCATATTAGAGCATTTAAAAAAATGATCCTAATATAAATATTTTTCCTGGTTAAATTAGCTGCATTTATACACTATATTGCCAAAAGTATTGGGACACCCCTCCAAATCATTGGATTCAGGTGTTCAAATTAATTCCATGGCCAAAGTTGTATAAAATCAAGCTCCTAGGCATGTAGAGTGCTTCTTCAAACATTTGTGAAAGAATGGGCTGCTCTCAGGAGCTCAGTGATTTCAACCGTGATAGGTTGCCACCTGTGCAATAAGTCCATTCATGAAATTTCCTTGCTACTAAATATTCCACAGTCAACTGTTAGTGGTATTATAACAAGGTGGAAGCAAGTGGGTAAAACAGCAACTCAGCCACGAAGTGGCATCCCACGTAAAATGACAGAGCAGGGTCAGCGCATGCTGAAGTGCTGAACTCTTAAGGCGTCGGCATATCAAAACATTTTGGACAATTTCATGCTCCCAACTTTGTGGGAACATTTTGCGGATGATCCTTTCCTGTTCCAACATGACTGCACACCAGTGCACAAAGCAAGGTCCATAGAGATATAGATGAGCGAGTTTGGGGTGGAGGAACTTGACTGGCCTTCACAGTCCTAACCTCAACCTGATAGAACACCTTTGGGATGAATTGGAGCGGAGACTGCTAGCCAGGCCTTCTCGTCCAACATGAGTGCCTGACCTCACAAATGCGCTTCTGTCTCCAAGTCTCTCCATGTGCCTGGTCGTCAGAATTATTTCTGTGGAATTCTATGTACACGCCAAACCTTACTGATTGTGCCTTTGCTTAGATATAACATAAAATGACATACTGTATACAGTGTTTTCAGATTGGTCAACATATATGGACCTTCTTAATGTCTCTGTGTCTTTCCATTCTTTCTGTTTGTATTTATTTATTGATTTTATTTAAATGGATTTTATTGATATGAGACATTATATACACATGAAAATGGTCACACAACATAAACGATAAAACAGACATACATCAAAACATTTGCTTGTCATATGACAAGGAGATCTAGTTTACAATCTTGTGGATTGTACAATGCAAATTAAGACTATTACATCTTGAATTACCGGAATGGCGAAAGGAACACCAAATAGAATGGACATATACCTAAAGAATACAGTAATAGAATTGTTTTTCTTTTTGCTTAAAATGTCCTTTTTGCTTTTCCTTCAGTTCTTATTTGACCCCCCACACACACACTTTTTTTTTTCTATCTGATTCTCTTTCCCCCCCTCTTTTTTTTTTTTTTTTTTGTCTATCCACATCTTTATTTTACTCTTTCCTTCACTTTCTCTCTTTTTGCTATGATTCTTCCTCTCCATCCTTCTCTTTAAGTTTACAGTGCATGGGATGTGCCATTAAGTGTTAATGGCACCCCTGCATGTTTTCTTAAAGTGTTACTAAAAAGTGTTACAGGACCCTGCATTCACTATATCTGGTCTCCTACGGGTACACAGAACATGTAAGTGCAATTATTTTAGTAAAGATAAACTACTAAATACCTTTTCTCATCAACAATTAGAGCAGTCTTGTGACTTCTATCAGTGTCCAGCCGAGCACATGTTAAAGCTTGTAGGAGGAGTTTTCATTCTGCTCTAGGAGGATACAGGACCCCTGACGTCTATTTGGACTGTGCTGATTGGCCCTGTGCTGATCACATGCACTCTCCCAAGAATAAAAAAAACCTCTGTAGCAATACACACTAAACTGAGCATGTGCAGGGTGACTCCACACAATATGTCTTATAAGAGGGGGACACTGGAAGAAGGGGATGATCAGAGAAGTCAGAATCAGAATCAAACATTCTTTTTACACAATGCGGACGAGTACCCCTTGGGTTCCACAGTGAGTATAACAAGCATCCTTTACTGCATATACAGACTGATTTTACTGTTGTGGGTTTAGTACCACTTTTTAGTGTGGCTGCTTGCAGGTGCAGGAATATGTGCAAATTACATGCACTCTCACACCTGCACAAATGTGAACCTAGCCTTAATCTCTTTTATTTTTTCTATCTGACTCTCCCCTCCCACCTTCTTTTTCTATCTGACTTTTTCTCTCCCCTTCTCAGTTCCTTTCGCTCTCTCTATCTAGCTCTCTGCCTCTCAGTCTCTGTCTGACTCACTCTCTTCCCTTTCCTTAGTCTCTTTCTCATTTTTTTTTTTCTCATTTATTTCTCATTTATTTGTCTCAAACTTTCTCCCCCCTTTCATTTCCTTTCTCTCTTTCTATCTCTGTCTCTCTCCTTCTCTCGGTTTGTTCTGTCTGGCACTAGTTCTTCTCCTCCTAGTATCTCTCTCTCTCTCTCTCGATAAAATTTGTGCAAACATTTTGGTTACTGTTTGTAACATGTTGACTTAATATCTAATATTTTTCTTGTAAAGGTGAAGAATGGTGTTACATATAACTGCACAGATTGTAGCTGTGTTTTTAAAAGCCTTGGCAGTCTTAATACCCACATCAGCAAGATGCATGTATTGGGATCACAGACTACACCACCCTCGACAGGAGCACCAAACCATGTGAACATGGTAAATAGATGGCTGTGTTTGGTCATTTGTAAATAGTATCAAGTAAAAATAGGTTTTAACATTTTCTTATACCAAAAAAATGACTAGTTATTGCAGGCTTTTTCACCTTCCCCAGAGACCTTTTATCCAAAAGTAGCCAAACACATCAGAGGAAGGTTAGACAGGTGGACAGCTTGGAAAAGATCTATTTATAAATGTAGACACTCAATTATGATTATGCATGTTTATGGCTATGGAAAGGAAAGATCAGAAAGAGATCACTATTATCAGGTGATCTCAAGGAGAAGAATGGCGATTGTCCACAAAAAAAAAAAATGCAACGCAGTCCACCACTGAATTGGTCACTGGGATGTCTCTGGCAGTTATCTAGTGCCTACAGGCATGGTGATCACTGCCTATTATGGCTGAAATCATTTGGATCAGGACAATGGAGCCTTAGAGAACCGAGGAGCAGCATATATTTGCCTGTGGGGTTTTAGGGGGTAGGGCTTTCCTGGGACAAATGTTTTTCTTTAGGTACTTGGTGAATAAAAATTAAATTTATTTTGTGTCTTGAAGGATACATCACAGCCACCAGCAATTCCAGATGCAAATCTACTGCAGCCATCACCAGATGATAAGTGGAAAAATGTAAGTTTGCTGCTTTGACTCAAAAAAAAAAAAAAGTTATGGTTGTTCTCTTATCAGTTTGTATTTTTTATTATTATTATTATTATTATAATTACACAGGATTTATATAGCGCCAACAGTTTGCTCAGCACTTTACAATATAAAGGGAGACAATACAGTTCAATACATGAGGGCTAGAAGGGCCCTGCTCCTTGGAGCTTACAATCTAAGAGGTTTTTATGACATAACAGCCTCTTGTACAGTTTTAAGAAGTCCTTGGCTTTGCATTTGCTCTGAAAATTGATTTCAGTTCTTATTAAACTTGTACTGCTATTACAATCAGTCCCTAGCTTCTTCTGTTCTTTGTAGGAGCATTCATATCCACTTGCAATCATACAAAAGAAATAAATGAAAAAGCCCTTTATCAAGTTTTTTGCACATCCTCATATGATGGCACCTTTCAGTGACTCTTTATTCAATCTGTAACAGTTTGGTCATAGTCAGTGCAACATAAGATTGTAAATAATTGCATAATTACATTAGATAATAACTTTATAGGCTAGTTTACACTATGTGGTTTATTTACTAAAGCTGGAGAGTGCAAAATCATGTTCACTTGTGCATAGAAACCAATCAGCCTCCAGGTTGTATTTCCAAAGCCTAATTGAACAAGCCGAGGTTATAAACTGATTGGTTTCTATGCAGACATGACCCTGATTTTGCACTTTCCACATTTTGTAACTAAACCCCTATATGTGTATGGCACTGCACTGCCATTAATTCTGAATGGCACTCTAATATGAAAATATACAGAGTAAAGCAACACACTTGCAACCTTGCACATGACAGGGTACAAATGTGAATGCATTTTTGTGCTGTAGTGCCTTCATTAAGTAAAAATAATTAAGTTTTGTAATGCTTTTTTAAATTACCCATTTAGAAGAATAGGCTGCCTTAAAGTGTTTGTTTTAGAGTTACGTCTATTAATCTACCAACTCGTTGTCACCATTTTTTTCTCAGTAAAGTCAGAGCTCATCAGGATTGATGTAGCTTTCTTCTGGTAATGTTAAAGTATTATAGGTAGTATTATAGCTAGGGAAGAGGTGGTTTGAGTATAAGTGGTCTAATATATGCAGGGAGCACAAAAGGGTGACGCATGTCAAACAACAGAGAAAAATTCCCTGCTCAACTTACCAACCAGCCTGCAACCAACTGAATTGTCCTGTCTAACAGTTTACGTTAAAAACAGGGGTTTAGTTTGCACACAATTGAAAAAACAAGAAAGGAGGTATAATTGTTAATGGGTTCCACTACACAACATTAGTGTTGTCCAGTAACCAAGAAACCATGAAACTTAAAAAATGTGTGAACTTGCTTTGGTGATATTCTCTCCAAGTGTGAGAGGAGAGCTCTAAAGGAATTAAGAGAAGTGATAAGGGCAGAAACGTGGTAATCCTGAAAGAAAAAAATTATGTGAAGGAAGTGAAACATCAACTAGGAGATCTTAATACATATCGTAAATTATATGAAAATCCATTCCCTACCTTGGTTAACCAATAGCCGCCTGGCGGCCGGCAAAATGCTGTAGATTTCCGGGGTGGATGCCAAATGACGTCCTCCTGGGCATGCACAGTTTTCGCGCTTGCAGAGCCGCGCAGCGGCGCGATCTGTCATCGGCCATGTACCTCAGACACGGCCAATGACAGATCTGAGTACCGCCCCCCGTTGCCGGTACCATGTGACCTGCTGTGACCAATCACAGCAGGTCACATGACAGTTGTATACAATGGATGGCTTCATTCATGCCATCCATTATATACTAGTGTCTAGCTGTGAATGGTCACAGCGATCACATGCACATGTCATGTGATTAGCTGTGGCCAAATCACAGCTAAGCAAAAAAAAAAAAAAAAAACCCTGAATGAATCGATGTCATTCAGGTAAATGCTTGCTTATAGCAAAGCAATTCTTTGCTATAAGCAAATTGTGTAAAAAAAAAAAAAAAAAAACTGAAAACTTCCCCAAAGTAGTACAATGTTACTATGGTAACATTGTACTACTTTGGACATAGTGAAATATGAAAAAAAAATCTTAAAAAAAAAAAATAATATATATATATATTTTTTTTTTTTTTCGTACTGTCACCAGTCAGTGTCCCTGATCACCACCATGCCAGTTATATGATGACGCTGTACTGCACTGGTGACAGTATGTAAAACAAAATGGTGAAAATAATTTTTTTTTAATTTTTTAATTTTCCGAAAAATTATGACAAAAAAACTACAACTTCAAAAAACTCGGCATGCCTCTTATGAAGTACGTCGGACTGTCTACTTTGCAAAAAGGGGTCATTTGGGGGATATCTGTACTGTTCTGACATTCTAGGACCTCAAGAAATTAGATTGGCTGTCAGTACTTTAGGATTGATCAATATTCAGATCTATACCATAGTTTTGTGAACTCTATAACTTTCCTACAAACTAAAAAATAACTTAAAGGAATGCGCTAAAACCACAAACTATTCCTAATTTAGTGTAGAAACATTAGTGCAAAAGATATATATATCTATTCTCAATTAATATCAAAAAATATCAAAATTATGTGCAAAACTATTTTTTAGTGCATAAGTAATTTAAATAATTAAATTTGTGAATATAAAAAAATGTCCAATTCTGAATTTCTTCAAATGTCCAAACAAATCCTTTTCAAATTCAGGTGCTCTCAAAGAAATTGTGCCAAAATCCACCACCAAAGTAAAATTGGGTAACTCACCAGAGCTCCATGCTGATCAATCTCTAGATCAGCAAAAAACGCTTTTTGCTCTGGGAGCAGATGCAAAGAATCAACTTCTCAGGTGTGATGATCAATAGCTACACAATCATCCATAAGGTAGGTATCCACCACTCAATATAATGGTTCCAGGAGCATTATATCACTCTCTCTTTTTATATCTCTCCACCGAGGTCATGTTTGGGAATGAAAGAGAAAATCATGGTGCAGCCAGTTTTTTTATAAAAAGTATCCAACAATTTAATAAAGATTTACACTCACAAAAAGGGTGTCTTCACCGACACCAGTATAACAGCATAAAACAGCAAATGGGTATAACAGTCTCCTGTTCCCCGCACACTCACTACAGCGCTCGTGACTCAATTTTCTCCACAGACGTCAGCATCCAGCAAGCCAAGCCCTACTAGTTTCGTCATGAATGACCGCCCCTTGAAGACGTCATTCATGACGAAACTAGTAGGGCTTGGCTTGCTGGATGCTGATGTCTGTGGAGAAAATTGAGTCACGAGCGCTGTAGTGAGTGTGCGGGGAACAGGAGACTGTTATACCATTTGCTGTTTTATGCTGTTATACTGGTGTCGGTGAAGACACCCTTTTTGTGAGTGTAAATCTTTATTAAATTGTTGGATACTTTTATAAAAAAACTGGCTGCACCATGATTTTCTCTTTCATTCCCAAACATGACCTCGGTGGAGAGATATAAAAAGAGAGAGTGATATAATGCTCCTGGAACCATTATATTGAGTGGTGGATACCTACCTTATGGATGATTGTGTAGCTATTGATCATCACACCTGAGAAGTTGATTCTTTGCATCTGCTCCCAGAGCAAAAAGCGTTTTTTGCTGATCTAGAGATTGATCAGCATGGAGCTCTGGTGAGTTACCCAACTTTACTTTGGTGGTGGATTTTGGCACAATTTCTTTGAGAGCCCCTTGAATTTGAAAAGGATTTGTTTGGACATTTTGAAGAAATTCAGAATTGGACATTTTTTTATATTCACAAATTTAATTATTTAAATTACTTATGCACTAAAAAATAGTTTTGCACATAATTTTGATATTTTTTGATATTAATTGAGAATAGATATATATATATCTTTTTTGCACTAATGTTTCTACACTAAATTAGGAATAGTTTGTGGTTTTAGCGCATTCCTTTATTTAAGTTATAGCACTAAGAAATTTATTTGGTTTCTTTGAGGTGGAATTGCTGCTTTAAAGTATTAAGGGTGTGACGCTTTTATTACACTTGTGAAACTAAAAAATACATCCTAATTTGGGTTATTTTCACCAAAGACATGTAGTAGAATACATCTTGGCCTAAATTTATGAAGAACAATTATTTATTTGCAAACTTTTATAACAGAAACAAAGAAAAACTTGTTTTTTTTTCGCAATTTTTCGGTCTCTTTTTGTTAATTTAGCAAAAAATAAAAACCCACGGTGGTGATTAAATACCACCAAAAGAAAGCTCTAGTTGTGTGAAGAAAATGATAAAATTTTAGTTTGGGTACAATGTTGTATGACCGCGCAATTGTCATTCAAAGTGTGAGAGGGCTGAAACCTGAAAAATGGCCTGGGAGGGAAGGGGATAAAAGTGCCCGGTATGGAAATGGTTAAAACACTTAACTCCATGTTAATCTTAGGGAAAGAAGCCAGTTTACTTTCAAAGAAAGAACTTGAATTTCTTAAAGTTGATGAATGTAATTACCCAACTTTCTATATAATTCCCAAAATCCACAAAGATTTACAAAATCCACCAGGTCGACCAATAGTCTCAGCTATTAATGGACCTCTTGAAAGAACAGGTAAATATGTTGATCTATTTCTTAAAGAAATGGTTATGAATTTAAAATCATATGTTAGAGATACAAAGGATGTTTTGGACAAAATTCTGGAACTTGAAATTAATGGGGACTCCATTCTAGTGGGAGTGGACATTGAGTCCCTTTATATGTCCATTCCCCACGAATGTGAGCAGAAAGCCATCTGCTACTTCCTGGAGATGAGTTACCCTAATATATCATTTTTTTTTTCTCACCCATGTGAACATTTGGCTGAGGTATATTGACGTGTTTCTTGTCTGGAAAGGGGGTGTTGAGGTTTTAAAATAATTTATAGAGGAGTTGAATAATAATTCAATGAATATCAAACTCACCTATACGTACGATAGGTATGAAATCTCCTTTTTGGATCTCAACATTAGACATGAAAATGGCAAATTTGCCACTAACACCTTTCAGAAACCCATGGCAGCAAACACACTATTACAGGCTGGAAGTCGCCACCCACGTTCACTAATCAATGACATTCCAATTGGTCAATTCCTGATGTGTCACAGTAACTGCTCTAATATTAATGATTTCAAGCTAGAAGCACGAGACCTCTATAAAAGTTTTAGAGAATGGGGTTATTCACATTCCCAAATAAGGATGGCGAGGAAAAGAGCTACCTGCCCTCAGTCTATCCATTATTATGCATGTGCTTCTACTATGGAGGCTCTCAAAGTTTATAGAGTTAGGAACTGCAGAATACTGGGGTGCCATGAAGAGGCCTTGCAATGTACGCATGTATTTGCAAATGTCTGCAAACTAAACCCCTGTTTTTAACGTGAACTGTTAGACAGGACAATTCGGTTGGTTGCAGGCTGGTTATTATTCTTAAGTAACTGGTTGGAAAGTGTTGTTTCAATGTTTCAGGGATGTTTTAGACATGTCAGGTATGATTGAACAGTGCAGCAGTTTCCTACTGATCAGCTCTCGTTTGCATTTTGGCACCTTAACATTTAGTTTTTAGAAATCCATGTTTAAAGGTATTGTAACACTCATTTCTAATAATGCTATATGTACTCTAGTTTTTACCTAAAGATTGATAGGTTTGTTCAGTTGATATCACAAGCTTCTTAAAGGATAAGTTCACCTTTACACAAAAAATAATAAATTCACATTTTTTGCAGGTAAAAAAAATGTCCATTTATTATTATTTTGTGTTAGGAGCCTCTAAAGCATTGCACCAGCAATCAGCAGATCGCTGATGCCATGCAGGTCTCCTGCAAACTGTCAATGTATCTGCTTGCTTGTACATTCCATACGAGCAAGCCGATACGTCTGACAGGAAGAATCAATGAACTACCACAGTGTTCACAGCTCCATGGTAGTTCATTGAGAACTACAAGCCGAGAGCCATTAAGTCTGTTTGGACCTCTAGTCCATTCATTCATTCTCAGAGGACTGTGAATTGATACGGCCGTGTTAGCAGAGCCCCACACAGCCACACTGTTTTTGAAAAGTGACAGCTTGTACGGGGAACTTCTCCCTGTACTTCTGCAATAGGGAGAGGGGGGGTAGCGGCCAGCGGCTGCAGGATCGGGTCCATGTTACATGTTTCACCTTAAAAATGGGTGAAACATTTAACATGTTCCCAAAAGTGAACTTATCCTTTAACAATTGCTTCACAGCAAAACCCAATACGGTTGTGCTAAAGCTAGGAGGCTTCACCTTTTGTAAAACTGTACTGTTGCTGTAAAGCTCTTTTTTGATAAATGTAAATGGATATAATTACTCCCTAAGTTATTTCATTTGTTCCTGAAGGAGGAACATTGTTTCTATAAAAACCTAATGACAAGGAACGCTGTTTGCTTATTGAGTTATATTGGCACTTTGTATGTATGCGGTCAGGTTTTCTTATTTCCCAATTTTGTTGTATTTTTGCCATTTCCTAATATTTATTTAAAAAGCGTTACATGAAACATTCTTGTATAGTACATGCTAAAAACATCTATGAATGTGTTATGTCTATTTTTCATAGAGTCCTTGTATTTTTCCTAAGGGTATCTTACAATGTGCAGTATATACAACATATAGCTAAATACTTTTTACAGCTTGACGAGGCAAATAAATATTATAATTGAATGTTTTTCTTAAAAGTGTACAGATTGTCTAGCTTGCCTGATTTTTATTATTTAATGTTGGCAGTGCATCATTTTAAATGTATTTTTTCTGTGTATGTACTTTCATATTTAGTGATGATTTTTTTGCATTTTTCTTGGATTATGTAGTGAGGCCAGGTAGAGTGAGAGGAGCTAGAAATAAATTATTTCTTCCTAGCACAGTCAATGAGCACATGGATGGTCTCTCAGCAGCCTGACAAAAGGGATTAAATGTAATTTAAAAGACATAAAAGGCTAAAAAAAAAATCAAACAAAATTAATGGAGAAGGGGAATAGGCCAAAATACCAAGCTGAGTTGCTATTTCCTTTCTAAGGTTCTTAAGAGTCTGTCTTTTGAGTCTAATTTGGCCTTTACTTAGTTATTTTTTTTTAATACTTTTTACTTTTTCTTTTTAATACTCTTTACCTACTGTGTATGGGTTATGAGTTTTTTCCAATTTGCAATGACCTTGTTTTGCTTTCTGGTTTTCTGATAACATTGGTGATGGCTTTATAAAGGAATATTTTTTTTCCCAACAGACTGTAGTTTTTCGCCCTGTGCCAGCTCAGACAGACACAGCAGGTTCCTCAGCCTCTGGACAGCAAGGACAGCAGCCAGCTGTGGCAGATGTCATCCAGCAGCTTCTAGAGCTGTCTGAGCCCGTGCCTGTAGAAAACCCTCAGAATCAGCAGTCAGGACAGTCACTGAATATTGCTGTGGGTATTAACAGAGACATTTTACAGGTGAGTAAGTGCACTTTAAGATAAGGTAGCTTGATTTCTCCAAATTAAAAAAGGACAATGCTTATGTTATTTATAGAGTATCTTTTATTTTTCTAGCACAAATAAGATGCAAGAACAAGTGTGTGTGACTTTTGTGAGACACATGTATTCATTTTCCTCCATTTTTCTTTAAATTCCTGCCCTGACATTTATACAGATAAAGAAAAAAGCGTACTTGAAGTTGTGATGTAGAAAACCCCTGGTGTTGCCTCTCTTTTATGTAATCATAGTAGTCAAAGGAGAAGGAGGGCCAAAACTCTTTTGGCCCTACTTCTCCTGGGGAACCACAAGAGTTCACCTTGTTCTGCACTCCTGTGACCCATGTTCTGCCAACAGCAGGCTAAAGCCCACTGTTGACTGATGTCACTCAGCCAGTCCAGACTCTGAAGAGATCCTGACAATAATAAGCCAGCTGCTCCTGCCCTCTCCACAGCACTTCACTCCAGTAAGCGCTGAAGGGGCAGAGCAGTGTCAATGACTGACAGTCACTGGCTCTCTGCTCACTGAAGATCGGGAACTGAGCATTCAGCAGTCTTTGATCACTCAGTTCTTAGTGTAGAGACGGCAGGGAACAGATGCAATATCCGATCCATGCTTCATCCACCTAAATCAGTATAATTTTTTTTTTAACCCTGAACTTCCCTTTTAAAGATAGCAGTAATTTAAATTACAATTCATTTATTTATGAACATCCTAAATTTCTAAACTCAAGTGACTTACTTGCATGGCCCTAAATTTAACCAGAACCTCCACCGTATGCAGCTGATTTTCACACTTGGTAGATTCCTATAGCTTTCGCTATATTTATATTTTCAGTTTCAATATTTTGTTTGATTTGCAGAGAAATATAACAAACAAGACAATGTGACAACACAAAATGAAAGTTATTGTGATGTCAGATCTCAGATTCCAGATACCACTGTCTGTAATTCTTCTAATTTGTTGTGCCCTCAAAGCAATATTGTATTGGAATAGATGTATATGATACTTGCAGCTGCAAGGAAGATGTTGGCTATCTGTTAAGTCATTTATGACATTTACCTGGAAAATATGGGAAATAAAGGCAGTAGTATCCCAAGAATGCCATACATTTTTAAGTAATAAGATGTTGTTAAGCCCCTTTGATACTTGTGCATGAATCCAGTTGTAACACATACTCAGTTGCATGTAATGTTTGTGCTTGTGCACTATTGTCTTTTTTATTAGAGTTTTTTTATCATTATTCTTTCACTTTTTAAATGTACAGCGTGTTGTCTTTCAATGTGAGGAAATGTCTATTGAGCTATTTCTGTTCATACTGCATATGCATCTCTTGTACTTTGGCCCTGGTAAGGACAGGGAGTGATTGGAAATCCTTTCAAAGGGGACACAGACAAAATCAGAAATCAGAAAATTTTTAGACTGAGGAAGTATCAGAATGTCTGTCTGTGCCTTCCTGTCTTGGGGACACTTACACCATTCCATTTCTTCATTGGGCACCATCGTGATTGGGAATAAAGGAAAATCTTCCAAAAGGGGCTACAGACTGCATTTTTGCTTGTGTATTTGTAACACTTTTTTGATGCATTTTGGTGTTTTTTTTGCTTTTTTTTATAAGCGTTTATCGATGCGTTTCTAGATGCTTTTTTCCTGTTTTTTTTTTTTTTTTTTTTACTATTCTAGGGTCTGGTCCATTTTCGATGCATTCCAATGCGTTTTTGCTGCATTTTACCGTGTTGCAGTGCAGTTATGTGCAGGAAAAATGTAGCATGTTGTACTTTTTCTTTCTGCAACTGAAATCAACTGCATTGGTGTGGACTATGCCACTGAAACCCATGTAACCTACTTTCCATGCATTTTTGTTACAGGAAAAACAGCACTGCACTGCATGTGGTGTGAATGGGCTCTCTATGCCAAATCATTTAGTGTTTATTTTGCTTAACAACTGCTTCAACTAGTGCACTTAGGCCTAGAAAGCCGTTTTTGACTCCTACTAAGGCAAATCAATTACAAGTAAACTGTTGGCAATTTCTTTACAGTCAAATTAGCTTTGTCTTTTAATTTATTGGCAAATTATGTATCAGATTTTCAGAAGTAATGTGAAACATGATCCTGGAAACAACACTGTTTTCATAAGTATAGCTTTACTAGATAATTATGTTTTGATAAAAATTACCAAAAAAGGTGCAATGATTTATGGTATTTTCTTTTCTATTGCTTTCATGTTAGCAAGCTCTAGAAAACAGTGGACTGTCATCAATTCCAGTTGTGCCACTTCCTAGTGACTCAAGTCAAGCCAAGACAAATGATCAAGAAATTGAATGTCTTTCAAGCCAGCAAATGGACTGTAATGACCAGGAGCCTGGGGTGGATCAAGAAGATCAGGATAAGGCAGAGAAGTCTGAGAAAAGGATTTTTAAAAAGAAATCACCGTTCACACCAGGTAGTAGTGACTGACTGAGACAAATTCTGCAACAATACAAGAAAACTTTCTAAAGATAAAGTAATTCTGTTACAAATCTGGATGAGTCAAACTGAGCATTTTGATGAAATATTGCTAAAGCAGATGTTGCCTCTAGTGAAGACTGCATGTTGGCAAGATCAGGCAGAACCAGTGCTGTAGCCAGCTGAAATTATATTCATATCCTCAAATGTTACTGTAAAGTTCTTAGTAGCTTTATCACTTGGTCTCACCTCAAGGGGCAGGACCAGTTTAGATTTTCTTGAACAAGGTTTCATTTTTTTTATTTATAGTAGCGTTAACTGCTTCTTTTATATTCTTCGTTAACAGAATGTATCACCTCTGCCCATCCACATAACACATACAGTATGTGTTGTATCAAAAGGGCTTTAACACTCACATGCTGCACATTTGCATCAAATTAATGGGTGAGGTTTCTGTGCTCAGAGTATTGAGCACTCCCAGCACAGAGACTGAGCTGTGGAAGACCGCTCTGCAAACCTACTAATGATTGAGACTGACTTCCAATCATATTATCACTGTGGCAGCCAACCACACTGGTCTTATAATTGCTGATTCCTGTCACTTGGGCATACAGACCCCATTAACCCTGTTAAAGGGACACCAGGGCTGGACGGGAAAGGGTTAATAAACTCTAGGAAAGTAATTCTGCACATTCAGTAATCTTTCTAAGCTTCACCTTACAACTCAAGACAACCTGAAAGTGACTTTCCAGTTTCTTTAAACTGAATAAGACAGTAGGAAAACTTAACAATTGGGTCTGATTGCCCCAAAGTAAAGCAACAGCTATCCCCAAAGCAATTTCCTAGTTCAGGTTAGGAAAAAAAAAATGAAACCCAATTGGCTCTTATGGGCAGCTGTTTCTCATTGGTAGACTCTTTTTATTTGCATTATGCTATGTGGCCAATGTGACACAGTTATTGTGATGAGTTTATGGATAATTCATATATCCACAACTGACTAACACGATGTCTTTAGTTTCAGGATCAGTCAGAGAGGAAAGTGGAGTCCGATGGCATGTGTGTACGTACTGTGCAAAGGAGTTTAAGAAGCCCAGTGACTTAGTTCGGCACATTCGTATTCACACACATGAGAAGCCATTCAAGTGTCTGCAGTGCTTCCGGGCCTTCGCTGTGAAAAGCACTCTCACCGCTCATATTAAGACACACACCGGCATTAAAGCTTTTAAGTGTGACTTTTGCATGAAATGTTTTTCTACCTCTGGAAGTTTAAAGGTCCATATACGCCTGCACACTGGTAAGTCCTTGTAATTTGATTTCTGTTTTCTGATATTTTCCAAGTGAATGGTGTGATAAGTTCAGTGCTGGGACAAGGTCCTTTAGTACACAAGGTGAAAAGGCCAAGATGCACTGCTTTCATGAGCTGTGAACTACATTAACAGTATAGGTTGCAGATCCTTCCCTTTTTTTTGCCTCCCTGCTGAAGTGCCTAAGACGGCCATCTCTTCTGCTTATCACTCAGCCTAGCCATGCATAAGTTATTGTGTAATATACATGCTTACAGAATTTGTGTTGGCAAGGCACAGAAAAATCTCATCATCAAAAATCTAATAACCATTTGATGATTTTACTTTTTGTGATGTTTATAACTACTGTTCACATCATATTGGACCATTTTCCGATTACTGTACATGGTGCACTAATTGGGACCATCTTATCTACAAATTAAACAGAGGAGTGGGGAAACATTTTCAACCTCTTGGACCTCTATTAGGCTTACAGTGGTACCCTGAGGTACTTGATTGAAATCTTTATTTTCTCAAACTAGTAATTTTGGTGCACAGGATTAGAAAATGTTCCTTGATTCCCAGATTGAGCACAGCAAAATTAGTATTGTTCATCACTTTAAATGGCAATTTTATAGACCATTCAGACAGCCACAAGCAGTCGTAATAAGTGTGACTGAGGTGTAACTCTTTAGCCACTGGATTGCCCAAATATCTGCTAATTCTATTTTCTAAGGCATTTAACAGTTCCAAAGGTAGCCATGGCACTCTGTTTGAGATAAATGCCCAGGTGCTCACCCACAAAGAAATCCATATAAATCCAAAACTGGTTTAGAAGCACTCGTGGGTCTTGCAGAGGAAGAAGATCAAAAACAGCATTGTTTTTATTGTCAACAGTTCGATGAAGCTCAGTCCATCTTTCTCAAGAAGGCATTTATTTAGACATGTGACACAGTTGTATGGCTTTAGAATTTTGTATGTTCTAATGGAGCAGACTAGGACCTGAAAGATGCCCATGTATAATTCAAAGTCCAAACAAATATACAAAATTGACCCATTTTAACTTAGTGTTACTAAACCCAGGACCCTGCATTCACTATATCTGGTCTCCCATAGTACACAAAGCATGGAAATGCAATTATTTTATTAAATCTAAACAGCAAAATACCTTTTCTCATCAGCAGTTTGAGCAGTCTTGTGACTTCTATCAGTGTCCAGCTGAGCACTGGTTAAAGCTTCTAGGAGGAGTTTTCATTCTCCTCTCACTGCCCCATGAGATTGCATAATCCCTGCCTCTGTCTGGACAGTGCTGTTTGGCCCTGAGCTGATCACATGCACTCTCCCAAGAAAAAAGAAAAAACTATCTAGCAGTACACACCACACTGGGCATGTGCAGTGTCCCCGAGGCTGTGTTCTATGAGGAGATGATATGTGGAACGTTGAAGAAGGGGAGTATCAGAGAAGACAGGATTAAACATCATTTTTACACAATGCAGAGGATTAACCCCTTAAGTTTCACAGTGAGTATAACAAGCATGCTTTACTGCATATACAGACTGATGTGGGTTTATTAACACTTTACGTTTGCCTGATAGTTTTCTTTCCATAAGACAGTTCTGTGGATAGACTGTTGACTAAACTGCTCCTTTGTTTCTACCAACAGTTTGTTTTTGTAAATATAGACAAAATAGTCAAACTACATTGCTAAAACATTAAGGCTGGAACTGAAATGTATTTTGGCGAGATACTTTTTCTATTGAAATCAATGGACATGCATCAAAATGCATGTTAACAGGCATTTTCACATAAATAAAAGGCAAATCGTTGTACCACGTAGCATGTTAATGTGTTTTTTTTTTTTTTTTTTTTTTTTATGTGCACTGATGTTTGCTATCATGCATTATGCCTGTTGACTTGCAATTTAAGTATATTGGAATGTATGCTGATTTCATTAGAAAACACATGGAGCCTAAATGCATAAGCTCATTTTGAAGGTTAGGCCATACTTGTGTAGATTTTAGTGGTTAAAAGAAAGAAATCTTAAAGGTTTCTCCATCCAGGCTAAACAGAGTGGATGAAGGAATCCTCCCTGTCAGCTGTTGTATTTAGATAGCCACAGCACCCATGGCAGAATTCCCAAACAGTGTCTGCATCTGAATGGATGCAGACACTGTTCAGACAACAATATTCCACACAGCTCCTTTGACAAGTCAGCTGAAAAATCGACTTTTATAAAGCTGGGTGGTGCCGACAGGGCCTCCCACTGCTAGAATTTCTGATAATTCAGCAGGAATTGGACGAAATCTACAAAAATACCCTGCTGGAGGGGATTGAGGACAGGTGTGGGAACTAGTGTTCTAACAAATTGCCATCATCTAATCTTTGGGTATATTTAATAAGTTGTACACTCTTATTGATCAATATAGTTTTTAGATTTATATTTTGAGCATCAGCAGTGTTAATTACATTGATGACCAAATATGATAAACCATTCTGAAAATATGCATTTTGTTCAGTTTTTGAAAATATATGTTTACTAAACACAATAAAATACATTTTTCCCAATAAACAATTTGTTCAAATCATACACCAGTACTTGCAGTATACAGCCTTCAGTGGTGCTGGCCCCTGCTCTCTCAATGCAACTTCTCTGAACTTCCAGTCTTCACAGCAGAGAGTTAACAGTAGGCAGTGTAGTCCTCAGTCAGTCTGTTAGCCTAGGCTATGGGGCTGTGTGTTTCTACTGATACACATAGTGTAGGGAAACACAACTCTACTCCCTGTATGCAAGGGTCTCCATATGACACTACAAGGCAAAGGAGCTACCTTGAATCAGGAAACCTGGGTAGCAGTCATAACGCCAGCTTAAACTGAAACATAGGTAAGAATTCAAAGTAACAAATACTCAGTGATTAAATCAACTGCTGAAAGTACTTTAAAAAGGGGGTATAATATCACTTCAAGTTTTGTAGTGCACATATTGGTTTTGTAGCAAAACTGTATATTGTACATTGTTTTATAATAATATCCTAAACCTTTAGATCCTAAAATGACAGAGAATATGTAACAAAAATGTCTGTTTCTCATGCCTACTTTTTATTTTCAGATTTGCGATACAGTATGTAAGGAAAGTTATGTTCCACTAAGCTTTAGTCCTTGATGTCAGAAATCGAAGCCTAGCTGTGTAGATTCTGTGTTTTATGTGTATTTGAAGTAATACACTGCTGCTAGTGCAAATCCATATTCGTGCAATGCTGTGGTTAGCCTAATTTGAGAACTTTTAGGATGACATGACCCTGCCATGTCAGACCTATAGCACTGCCATCGGCAAAGCTTATAATCTTTGGGAATTGGAGAGCTCTAGCAATGATTGCAGGTGCAATGTCAGGCTTCTACAGACCCTCCAGCTTTCTTACCTGTATGGGCTGTCTGTTAGAAAGCTGGAGGAAGTGTCAATGAACTGTGAGGGCAGGGACTTTCAAGCCATTTGCCGCGGTGGCAGACAGTACTTGTAGTTAATTCGTTCACAGATTGCTTTGAATGAATGGCGTGGCTGTGTGGGCAGAGCTCCACAGTGCAACAATTTTGAAATGGGACAGGGGGTGTAGGGGAGATAAACCTATAAATATAGGTGTAACATGCTCTAGAAGGTGAAATTAGCATTTAACCTGGCTGTAAGATGAGTTGGCATGATTCATTAACAGTGGAATACATTTAGCTAAAATCTTCATGTGAGACATAGATATCTGAATCTGACTCTTTGAACCGGATGCCCACTTAATTAGAAAACAGAGGTATTTATGTTCATCATTAATTTTGCAGGCGTGTGAAAGTACAGCTAGTGATAGACCGGAGACCTGGAAGCATAAAAGAAGAGCAGGGCAGCACACTACTGAAATGTGTCGGCTGCTCTGTAGCTTTTCCTAGATTAGAATTAGATGATTTTCCCCCACACACACTCCCTATAACAGTAGTTCACAAAGAATAAAAGAGAATTATGTGTATAATGAAGTTCTTAAAAAAATGACAACTACAAATTATTTTCAAGATCTTGAAACCTTGCTCTTCGCCACAGAATGGCAGGGTTGATGGAATTAGAATGTCAGCTGCTTTAGAGGAAAATAGATTATTTAATTTGCCTATAAGTATGCTATTAGTCTGTCAGAACATGGTATGAGAAGAAAACAGCTTTGTTATTTCTCCAGTAGCAGCTATATTAAGGTGTCTTTTCTTAAAGAAAACTTGTGATGAGCTACATTTTGGGTAACAGCCAAAAAATATATGAATTTACAATTCAGGTCAGCCAAGGTTTACTAAACTGTGGTTCTTTTACAGATTTTTTTAAGCCAGCCTCCAGCCAACTTCAGCTAAAAAATATTACATTATTTTGGATAGAGCAGGGAAGGGTTAGGTTAGGTTTTTATTGTTGCCTTTGTCCCTATTGTGGAGATTTTCCCTCACTTCCTGTAGGAGAGGAAGGGTTGAGATAGCTCTCTAACTGGAACACAAACATATTTTCAGTAAAAGAAGTTGCATTAAAACTTCTGCCAATGTTTTATTGCTGTCAATGCCTTCCTGTCCTGGTGCTAACTGCTTTCCACTTATTTCATCTTGATGTCACAAGGAAAGAAAGTGAGGGAAGATCTCCCTCAATGGGAGAAATTAAAAAAAACTTTCCCCCACTCAATCCAAAACTAAAAAAGCTGTAATAAAATTGACCAGTCAGTTTTATCATGTGTGTTAATTTCTAATTTCAGTGTTAGTTTTATTTGTAATAATGGAGACAAATATGTGAATATGTTAATACAGTCTTCAGTTACAAATTTGTAATGAGTCTTATTGCATGCATTACCATATTAACTGATACACATAGTGGTTTGTAGAGATTTAATTTTTTTAGGTCATACAGTCAGTGTATATACACTGCTCAAAAAAATTAAATGAACACTTTGAAAACACATCAGATCTCAATGTGGAAAAATATCATGCTGGATATCTATACTGATATGGACTGGGTAATGTGTTAG